GGACACTGGCGCCACCGGGCCCTCTGACCAATAATAAAACAGAATGTCACCGGTATAGCTGATTTTATGGTGAAAGGGACTTGATTGTATACCAGTTATATGTGTGTTTTACTTAGAGATAGTCACATACCTCAACCTCACTGTAATGTGAATCTGAGTCGAGGTGTGGTTATTAGTTACAACAGCTACAGATGTTGAGTGGTTAAGATTTTTGATCCACTAAATGAGCGAGTCTCAACATCCAAATTTCTGGAGCTTGTTGATAAGAAAAGCCAAGATGACTTTGTCAAACACTTTGTGACCTTAATTATGGTATCAAAGTGGTGTCTCGAAGATAAACTAATGAGGGTGAACAAGCGGTATGTGTTTGTGGATGCATGTCCACTTTTTATAACTCTTATTACTTTTTCCAGTATCTGTGTTATGACTTCTAGAATTCTAATTAGTGTATGTGAGAAGTCTTACAGATAATGTAACACCACACACAGTTAATGATACACAAGATTACACCATTCCTGGCATAAACATGTTTTTATGTAATGACTGAACCTTCAGCTCCTCTGCTGTGGAGGAGGCTATTGTCCTTAAAGCTGATGTTTGTGTGGACCTATAATTTAGTTCTCACAGTAAATCCAGTGGAAGTGGAATCACAGTATTGAAAAAGAACAATCAGTAGTGATGTGCGATACCACTGATTTACTTTCCGATCCGATACCAAGTAAAATTCAGGTTGGTATTGACGATACTGATCTGATACCAATACTCTGTACAAAAACGTAATGTTTAATTGTATTTTATAATACAATATATAGTTGTATTATGTAATTGTAATAATATAGCTTCATAATGATTACAGGACATCACAGTACTTGTTCTTGTTGCTTAATAATGCAGAATTATCATATAGAAAAAAAAAACCTGAAGTTGTGCACTATTTGAGCATGTTGCCTGCTTGCATTACTAAAGGACTCTGCGAGAGACGTCTGTCTCGCCCTAGCAGCACCTGTCCCTCTCCTCCTCTTCAGTTCGCCTCAACATAAGCTTATCATATTCTGTAATATGATTTACTCTGAGGTGTTCAACTCCTCACTGTCTTGCCACATGTATCGCAAACCGCATCTTGGCTGTTTGTGGAGGTAAAATACGTCCACACATGACTCAGTTTACGCTCAGTCATTGTCGTAAATGCACACGCCAGGGACTGCGACACATTTATACAGCGGTATGACTATGAAAGGCATAAGAGGAAGCAATTCCTTCCAATTTAGATGATCTGAATGATATAGTTTCTTTCCACTGTGTTCCTGTTAATGAAAAACTACAAATTCACCCCAAAATACTAAAATGTCGATATTTTAATATGAGAATCGATTCTAGAACATAAATTACCGGTATCAGAAGAATCGATATTTCAATATCGATCCGCACACCGCTAACAATTAGAACAGTGTGTATTTGTCAGTGCATTATACCAGGGAGCACTTAGCTTTTAGATTGCTAATGTGGTTCTCCATAATGCTAACATTGACAATGAATGTTATTTTGATGGGCGCTTTTACAGTCAGCTCTTAAGGACTGGAATTGAATTACCTCTACTGGAAAGAGTTATGAAAGGCTGACTGTGAAATGTCAAGTTCTTGGTTTTATGTTTATCTATTCTCTATAATCTATTCAATAGAAAAATAATAAAAAAAAAATTATCTTTTTCAGAGAGTAGTTGTTACAAAGTAATCACAGCAAAAATATTTTTGGGGTCTAATTGTGCTCCATGCACAATTGTGCTCAACAAGATGTCATATGTATGTGTGTTCACTCTTAATGCTTAATACACTAAGTGAATATGGGAGTAAAAGCTCCAAAATTAGCTAATGAACAAAGTACAGAGGCTACGCTACCAAAATATCTACTGCTACTGTAAACTGAAATTAGTTTATGAGAAAGTCAAAGACAAAAAGTCAAAGGTATTAAACATCCATGTACCTGTTATCATTATATAGATTATTACCCACTTCCATGCTGCTCTTTACACTGAGGAGAATAAACAGTACATCAGTTTGGTCTTTCGCTGAATGCATGAAGCTGCATACAGAGTACATGATATTTTCTCTGACAGCAAAAACCCGATGGAAGATCAAAAGTCTCATATATATATATATGTAATTGGTAAATGGCCTGTATTTATATAGCGCTTTACTAGTCCCTAAGGACCCCAAAGCGCTTTACATATCCAGTCATCCACCCATTCACACACCCATTCACACACTGGTGATGGCAGCTACATTGTAGCCACAGCCACCCTGGGGCGCACTGACAGAGGCGAGGCTGCCGGACACTGGCGCCACCGGGCCCTCTGACCACCACCAGTAGGCAACGGGTGAAGTGTCTTGCCCAAGGACACAACGACCGAGACTGTCCAAGCCGGGGGTCGAACCGGCAACCTTCCGATTACAAGACAAACTCCAAACTCTTGAGCCACGATCGCCCTATATGTATATATTTGTAATGTGTAACCTTCTTCGTGACTGAACATCATTATGTAAAAGTCCAGACTTTGACGGGTCGTTTGGTCCCGGGCCGTGGGAGTTGAGACTCGGGTGTGAAATTGGTGGTTTTCAGGGTTTTTTATCATTAACTCGGTTTCCCTGGGTCTTTCCCGTGTTGTAGTTGCGTCTTATTTTAAAAGAAATATTCACGCGTTACCATAGTGACCAGAAAGCATTAAGGAGCAGAGAGGAGGATGTTACTCTCAATATTGTTGGTGCATTTCAGGAGGACGCTGCTAATAAAGTTACACAATTACACACTGAATTTGCGTTTATTGTTATATCTACAAAATACCAGTTTTTGTCGTATCTTTTATTTTGTTGTATTTATCCGCCACACCTTAAACGCCGGTCTGTGAAAATACTGTCTGACATTAAACCGTCTGTGGAACAAAAAAGGTTGGGAACCGCTGGTATATATCTATAAGATGTTAACATGTATTCCTTTTGCAATGTATCATTGTGGTTGTATTTACCTTAGTTTAACAAGCCATTAGACACAGTAAAACCACCAGCAGAGATCGTTAAAAACAACCAGAGCAGTGAAGCTGTGTAAAAAGTGCAGGGGGAAGTTTGTGTGATCACATCCAGTGGGTGAGTGGGTGGCAGTATCTCGCTTCAAAAATGTGACATGGTAGCCCCTATAACTGGAAAATTTTGGCTTCACTTTTATACGGTGAGAGGAAATGGAGCCATGTTGTGCGTTTTTATACAGTTGTTGCTCAGACCTAACTTATTAAAATGATTAGTATAGTGTTAGAACAAGAAAAACAAGGTTAAAATATGAAACTAAATGTATTAAGATACATGGCTAATGAAAACTGTGACTTTCCCTTTGCAAAAAGCATGACCGCTCATTCTTCTCTGACCTCTCTGTTTATGTACATTTCACAGGTCCATGGGGTCGTTGTATGGGAAGTGAATGTGGTCCTGGAGGCAGCCAGAGTAGAGCGGTATGGTGTGCTCATTCTGAAGGTTGGACCACCCTGCATACCAACTGTGACCAAGCAGAACGACCAGACAACCAGCAGAGCTGCTTCAGGGTGTGTGACTGGCACAAAGAGCTATATGACTGGCAGCTGGGTGCCTGGAACCAGTGTGTCCCAGTGATGCGCAGTGCAAGGGTGCAGCGTCCTACTACGTGCACTCAGGGAGAGGAAGGAATTCAGACCCGTGAGGTGGGATGTGTTCAAAAAGCAAAGGGGGAGCCTGCAGAAGATGCAATCTGTGAATACTTTGAGCCCAAACCACGCCTAGAGCAGGCCTGTCTCATCCCATGTCCTCAGGACTGTGTGGTGTCTGAGTTTAGCCCATGGACTCCCTGTTCTAAAACCTGCGGGATAGGGTTACAGAACCGCATTCGCTTTGTCCTGGCTCCACCATTGTTTGGTGGGGCAGCCTGCCCAAATCTGACTGAATTTCAGACATGCCAGCTAGGTCCCTGTCAGGGAGAAGAGAGCCTTTACAGTCTCAGGGTGGGTCCCTGGGGCCCATGCACTGTTCCACTGCCAAGGCAAACCCGACAGGCAGACAAACCACCAAGAGAGAGTGAAAAACAACCCCGGGAAAGTGATAAACTTTCTAATGAGGGAGACAAACTCACCAAAGAGGGTGAAAAACCACCCAGAGGAGATGGCAAACAGACCAGAGAGGGTGAAAAACAATTAAAAGAAGGAGACAAACAGCCCAAAGACAGCGAAAATCCACTTAAATCCAAAAGAAAACTGGGCAGGGGAAACAGGAATAGGAAATCAGACAGGCCATCGCTACTGGCTGATCGGCCGAAACGACAGAAAAAAGCGAAAAACAAAGAAAAAAGAGAGAAATTAAGAGAGAAAGTCCAAGAGAGGTTAAGGGAGAGGGGCAAAGCAAAAGATGCTGAGACCAGAGATCTCATCAAAAAGAAGAGAAACAAGAATCGTCAGAACCGCCCGGGAGGAAAGTTCTGGGACCTACAAACCGGTTTTCAGACCAGAGAAGTGACCTGTGTGCATAAGAGCGGGGCTGTCGAAGCTCTCAGGTAACCATGACTGAAACACAATAAAGAAAATAAACTGTTATCTGTGATGTCATGGTTCTATCCTTCATAGAGTATTGATATCATTTTCTTTGTCAGCATGTTAGCTTGTCTTCTTTTTTTAAAAATCAGTTACAGACTGACAGCTATAGTTAAATCTTTGAGATCTGATATTTGAGCTTGTCTTAGAGTTGACAATTGTTATTCTATTCATTACTGGTTTTAAATTAAACTCAATGATAATTTCATTTTTTTTAATAAAGATGAAAAATCACCCAAAAATGTGTTTTATAAATATTTTCTCATGCCCCCATTAACAAGATTACTATCAGTTTTAATTGATGAAAACGTAACATAATTAATATACACAGCTTCCAAGCTCAATCAATGTTTTTGTATTGATTCATTTTTTTTCTTTTAAAAACACAACTTGCATCCATCAAAAGCTGAGGCAGGAATAGGCTGATGTGGTTATAGCACACCATAAACCACAACCTGATTCACTGGCTGGCTGCAGGGATATCAGAGACACAGCTGACAAAGTTGTTGCTGTCAGTGTTTAAGCAACTCAAAGATCATATAAGTTAAGTAGTACACACAACTGGTTAGTTTGTAGCTGCCTTGATAGGTTAGGTCGGTGCTGATGTTTTGGTATATGAGAATGTTAACTCTGAATTAAACTAAGTGGTATTAAACCTATTAGCCACCCAATAACTGCCACATTTACCAAAATACAGTTGCTGATTTGTTTGTTTGTTGTTTTTAACTTAAAATATACAGTAAATAATTAAAAAGGCTAATAAGCCCAGGGTTTAAAATACTCAATGTCAGTCAATGTGGCAAACATAATTGTTAGCTTTGAGCATCTAACCACAGACTAGAGGACTGGGGGATATATACAGTGTTAACTTCTTTGGATCTGAAATCTAAAATTTAGTAAATTCAGTAACTTTACACTTTACACATGAGCCATATAAACCTTAATAAGAAACAGGCCATTTCACATGTAAAGCCTCATATGGTCATAATCAAAACATGATGCAGAGGCTTGCAGGTCAATTGAGGCAAAATGAGAGTAAAATAAAACAATTAACACAGAAAAGCAAAGAAAGTGTGCGTGTTAAAATCTAAAACATACAGAAAAGAAGAAAAATGGAAGAGTTAGAGAACCTGAAAAAAGAGAAGCATCACATCATTATCGCAAATAATTTTCTTTTGAAAAAAGTAAAGCAAACGCAGTGATAAAAACAACAAGAGCAAAGCCATGGCCTGTGGAAGCAGCCACAGAAAATATAAATAAATGACTTGGATTCTTGGAACTTCAATATGCCGATTATCACATTAGCTGCCTCAGACAGAGAAAAGCCTTGGAGTGAACTAACGGTAACAACAGAAATGGCCACTGAAATGCAGCTCGGAGTTCTGATTCTGACTTCCTCTTTTCTTCTTTTCTTTATCTGCCAGCTTTCTGTGAACCCGAGGATATTGTGTTTATACTATAAATATGATCAGTGATGTTTCAGTGATGCAACTGTCATACTTAAATGTTGTGCTTTCGCTGCAGTCATTTTGCACACAGAAAAAATATTGCATAATTATAAAGCATTCAAATATTCTTTCTTTACATCAAACCAAATTTTAGCACGTCATGCAGCCTGTTCTTTTTAATAACTCTTATATTATATCAGTTACAGTATTTCTGTTTTTCCTACCAAATATAAAAAATGTGGATCGATTGTGACTTTTGCAGAGTTCTAAACATGTTTTATTACATTTAAGTGGTTACATCGAGTACATTGCTGTCTTTATTTTCATGTTCTACAGCCTATGCTCTCAGGAGACTTTGCCAGTGACCTTCCAGGCTTGTGTGATAACCAAAGACTGTGATGTGACTGAATGGTCCAAATGGTCTGCTTGCACCAAGGAGTGCTATGACCCCACCAGTCCCAAGGCGGTGTGGACTCGCACTAGAAAAGTGACCCAGTTCCCTGTGGGTGGAGGAATAGATTGTCCAGAGTTGGAGGAGAAGGAGCCCTGCACCCCCCAGAGTGACATGGTACCACCCTGCATTACGTAAGTACATGTGCTTAACTTAATGTACGATTTTCTTAAAGCAGCAAAAAATGACTCGTTATTATGAACTTATAGACCATACCTCCCTGTGGTAGACAGAGAACAAGGCCAGGTTGTACCTCACGTCTTTCCCACCTCTTTTTCTGGGGTGGTACAGGGCGGAGTAATCTTCGTCCATCTCAGGCTTCAAAACACAAAACTCAATTTTTTTCTGTGTTATTGCTGAAAGAAAACACTTCCTGCATACTGACTCAGAAAAAAACAAAATCTGTCTTTACATGAGAAAGATCTAACACAATTAACTTGTGTCGTGTTCAGAATTTTTGGAAGGAACCTCAGGAGAAAGGTCTGTCTTTTAAAAAAGGATTTACCTTTCTTTTGGCAGTTGAAATTACAAGTTTACACAGCGCTGTGGACCTCCAGCATGTCTCACAACAAGGATGAACTTAAAGTGGGCTGTACAACATTATATAGTGAGACAAAAACATAGATTATAGCAGCTATCTTCCTCCTGCATGGACGTGGCAGTCTTGGTGTCTGCTGCGAAGCATCCTCATATTTCCATGACCTCGTCTGGTATCTGCTCCATCGCCTGTAAGAGACAGAAAAGGCTTGATAATCTGATGTTATTATCCATTGTTCTTCTAGTGATTCAAAATTGGTTTAGAATATCATGTTCGGGACTCTCTGACCCAGAGACGTATTCTAATCATAATCTATGTGTGTAAGCGTGTTTGCAGTCATTTCCTACAATATATCAGTCCGGACATCACGCCGAAAGAAGCTTTTGACCTTCAAAAGACTGAGTGCCAACTCTCATGAGCACATTTGCAATGTGTGTATGAAAATGATTATAACCGCTTATTTTAGTAAGAGAAATCAAACATCTTCAATCCCAACACTTGGTAGAGACATTGCCAGAGTCTGAAACACAAAACTCAGTTTTCATATGGACTGACTCAGAAACTGAGATCTCAGTGACAACTTTCATTATATCTGCCTGCTCAAAATCTTAAAAACCAGACATAGAAACAGGTATTACTGCTAGAAAAAGACAGAAAATTCACAATTAACCAGCGCAGAAACAAAAAGCGTAAACATGAAACTTACTGGCTCAAAAACAGAAAACTCATGTTTATTTTTAGTGCCTGCGTCAGGACAAAACACAGGAATTAATTAGTTTTACTCACTGTGGTGGTGATGCCTCAAAACTGATAGCTGATGCAGGCAGAACAGCGGGCCCTGGCTGGGGCCCACCGTCAGCAGATGCAGGTGGTGAAGTGGGCTCTAGGAGCATTGAGCGACTACAGTGGGAACCTTGCTTCCTCCTGGAAGAAGATGCTTGTGGGAAAAAGGTTAGGAACTAGGTCCAAGAGGCCAGACTATAGCTCATCTGAGATGATGATGGTCACTGGCAGTTGGTCTCACTTCCGCCACCGAGAGCCAAGCTTCCTCAAACAGGAAGCAGGTTGTTGTGGCAGCAAAGAATTGGTTATTTTGTGACCCAGACAGAGTAACATTTCAAACTCCGCCACTCTGTGTTCCTCCGCCACTGCCTCGATTGAGCTTTGGACAAAATGCATTCTGGGATATTGCATTTCGTCATTTCGAGCTGATTGGAGACCAGAACAGCCAATCAGATTTTTTTGCATCCAAGTCTGTGATTGGCTGGTTTTGTGGCACAAATATAACGGTGTACAGAAAGAGTTGAGCGCGCACGGGCAGAAATGTTGAGAGCGCGAGCAACACATTGCGAGCGAGCGCAAATGCAAAAACTGAGCGAGAGGGGCTGCTATGTGTGTGTGTGTGGATAATAGCAAATGCAAACTGATTGCGAGTCAGTTGGGGTGGTGTGTGTGTGTGTGTGTGTGTGTGTGTGTGTGTGTGTGGATAATAACAAACACTGAAATACAGTTTTTGCACGCAGGAATGAATTTTGTTCACTTAAATTTAGCTTTTCTTCACTCAAAATAAATTTCTCCTCAAAATGCAACACTTGCACCTGCAAAAAATTTTTTGCGTGCGCTCAGAATAGTGGCATAAAAATAACGCCATAGCTGGCCCCGCCTACTTTCTGTTTCCATCATGGCCGTGTTGTGTGTTTAGCTGTGTATTGTGTGACCAAGTTTCTGCATCTAGAAGAGCTAGTTAGTTTTTTTCTGTATATACTGTAAATATTATAAAAACATTATGAATAATATTTTTATAATATTTACAGTATATATTATAAAGTATACAGTAATATTTATAAAGCAAATAGACCTGGTAGCTGTAGGGGTGGGAAACCTTTTTCTTCAAAACCATTTCTCCCGTGTAGGGAGGGAGGTCTGCGTCCTGATCAGCTGTAGACCATTGTCAATCAATCTCCTCCGTGCCGTGCCTCCTGTACAGTACAGCATGTGTTCAACTTGAAAAATTCACATAAATCTTCGATCCTAGCAGTGTGACTCTGAAGTGCTGCACTGTATGTTTGTAAGTTTTCTCCCCAACAAACACAACAATATCGATGAAATTTTTTGCACCGTCAAAGGTGCCTGCAGTAGCACCCAAAAGGCAGAGGAAGATGCTAACAATGGCACAAAACGTTAGACTTCCGGACATGCTAAAGGAAGGTAGAAGTTAGCGTATTTTTCGGCTTATAAGGCGCATTAAGCGAAACAAAGCAGTCAGATAAATCGAACTTTATTCAACTGATTCTTCTTGCTTCCTCCACTTCCGTATCATTGATTCATTAATGTTGAATTCTCTGGCAGCTGCTCTGTTCTCATGTTCTGGACCTGAAAACAGGGTTTGATCTTTGGTTTCGTTCTATAATTCTGGACTTTTTTTTTTCTAACAAGGTTTGAACTTTGAGAGTTTAAACAAGAGAGAAAAGTGTGAAAATGTTCATGCCTGTCTGAGAAAAGTGTATAAAGTGTGTAGTGTGTAGTGAGGGGTTTCACAGCCTTAAAACATCTATAATAATTGTAAAAAATAAAGCTGGCTACGTCGCAGATTTCACTTATCGCAGGTTATTGTTAGAACATAACTCCCGCAATAAACGAGGGACCGCTGTGTAGGATTGTCAGGGTGGCACAGGTTTTCAGGGGACTCCCTATCTGACTTGGTCCTGTTTAGATCACTCAGCTTTAGACACTGTTGATAGGAGTAGGATTAGTAACCCCACCACCAATTTGACTTTCTTGTACCACTCTACTGAAATGAACATAAATGATTAACTACTCTCAAAACAGTATTTCAGGGGGAATAACTCTGGGAGTTAGCCCTGTAAGACCCAACCCATCAAAAAATAGCCAGAAAATTCAGATTTTTTTGGAACTGAGATGTTTATTAACCCTTATGACAAAATCCACAAAATGTTTTTGCTATATCATATTCGTCATGATATATTTGTTATATATTTTTTGTATTGCACTTGATACATTGGCCATTTTTGGCAACTTTTTGTTAACAACGATGTTAATTTTAGACAAAAAAAGAATTTTGTCCATAACATTTTGAAATTATGGCAAGTATTGATCATGTTGATGAGATAGATGTCTCAGTATCAAATATGGTACAAAGGGTATTATAGGGTTAATATTAATTAACAGAGCACGCAAAAGTTACTATTCTTCTGCACGGCCTGGTGTGATCCAACAATCTTGAGCTACTTTAAAAATATCTAAATAGCTAAAATTTTCCATAAAGACATAATAAGGTGAGGCATCTGGAATCTCATAAAGTTTGTTGCTGGTTAGTTGATTTGTCCTGTTAATATGACTGGTGCACATATGTCTGTCCAGTTAGGTGGTAATACTGAATTTATGCATTTATCTTTATCACACAACCAAAAAACGACATCTAACAGCCATGTGCCATTGCCTACATCATAAACTTGCAAGCACTGTGCATGAGGTTTATAGTAGCACATATATATAAATCTATAAATCTCCCTCTTCTGCTCCATACAGGCTGACACAGTATTCTTGTGTCAGTGTGTTGACCCAGAAAAATACCACTGTTTAGTGGTGTTACATGTCTTAAAGATTCCACTCATGTTTGGGTTTTGGATGATATCAGCATCATCTTACTCATATCACGGGTGTCATTTTTTTGTGATATTCTCAAGTTACTCCCCCGGACCATGCAAAAAGGGAAAATTGTGTTTTTATCATGTAGACCACAGGTGGTATGGATTTTTTTTATGTCATAGGACAAGTCTGTCCTTTAGAGAAGTAGGGGTTGCTAAGGTAACTGTGAAGTGATCTGATACATGTGGAAGATAGATTGTTGCATGGAGAAATGACGATAGTAGCACAACATGTCTGTGACTTCTCAGTAAGACCAACATCAGGTGGTTGAATGGTTCTGAGTGCACCTCACTGTATCCAGGGATGGTTTTTTTGCTCGTTAGCCTTTTCCTGAGCAACTATAAGCGAATTCAGACTGACCAAGGGTGAGCAGCTGCATCTGTTAACACAGGTGCCATCATGGCACTGCTGCCTGTTTTGCTACTTCATCTGCTTCACTGTTGCCTTTAGCTACCATGGTGTCAGTTTTCTGATATGCCGGGCATTTAATTGCTAGTACAACAGAGGGGAGTTGTAGAGCTTCTATTAATTGTGAGACAGCTTCCCCATGTGCTATTGGTGTTCCATCTGCGCGATGGAAGCCTCTCTGCTTTCAGTTGTTAGCGCTGACATGGCACATGGCACAAGCAAATTGGAGTAAACATTTAATCTTTTACCTGTAGCTATTTTACAGGCAGCTGTCAGGTTGTGGAGAGCACAGCTGATCAACCATTCGTGCTTGTATGGTTGTGAAAGTCTCAACAGCAGAGTTTAGTTGAACAGCGGCATAAGCAGCATAGTCAACCTTTTCATCCTGAAAACAGGAGTTGTCCACAATTAAAGTAAGATCAGCAGCTATTGTTTTTATTGTGCAAATCCTCATGTGCTTAAGCTTCTCAGTATGCTCTAACAATCATGTGAGTTGCTATCAGTTGGCAACATCATCCT